GCATTTTGGTGCGAAACCTTTTTTTTAAGTTCCTTAGAGAAAAAAAGTTTTTCAGCAAAAGGTTCTTCCCGTGTATCCAGGGGAAGAACCTTTAAAGATTCGGTAGTATTGAAGATTCGTTTTTTAAGCATTTGGATGCATTCTGAAGCAATTTCAAATCTATGGAACCTTGTTTGTGGGTTTCGTAGAAAACCTAGTTTTTTTAGAGTGTAGATTCTGTAGACCAGGGTGGGTGTGGGTGGGTGTGGGTGTGGGTGTGGGTGTGAGTGTGAGTGTGAGTATCAACTCACACCCACATCCACACCCACACACCCACACCCACACCCACACCCCACCCACACCCACACCCCACCCACACCCACCTACCCACACCCACACCCTCAGCCACACCCCACCCACACACCCACACCCACACCCACACCGCACCTCGAGAATGGTCATAACATGATTTTTTCTAACACTCCCTTTTTTTACTTCATTCGATTCTACGTGAAAAACTGGGCTGACGAAATTTTTTTTACTCTTTTATACCCTTCCTTCACGGAGTTATAGGCATTTCAATTGAAGCACCCTTCAAAATTGCGAGAAAAAAAAATTTCAGTATTTTTCACTTTATGAAGTCAAATTACATCATATAAAGGAGGGGAACATCTCATTCGAAAGAGCGTAAAAACCTGCATCGAATGATGTCTTTCATCTTTTGGACCTTTTCAATTTTTTTGGAAAAAAATTTTTTTTTACCAAAAAAATGTTGAGTATTTCCAATTTTTTTTGACCGCTTTAATACTAACGATGAATTTTATTACGGAATTTTATAAAGCATTTAATTCTGCATAAAATGAACTAACTCACAAAGATTGAAGTGGGGATCAACAGTTTGCACTTTTTAAAACAATTTCACCACCTAGCGATTTTGAACTTTTCTGACTTTTCAAAAAAACTTCAGTATTAGTTACTGTAATTTCGTTTTGATAATAGAAAAGATTGTTGGAACACGATTAGCAAAGAAAGTTACATCGAATCGTGTTTTTTTTAAATGTATTTGGAGTGATTCTGCTGCTCAATACTTACGTAAAAATGAATTATCTTGTCTTTTTTCCGGAAATTCGGCTTTTCGAATAACTAAATCATAACCTAGAGACAAAATATGTGAAACGAAGGACTGTTAGCTGCTTTCTGATCTCTTAGCAAAAAAATACATTGAAAAATAGTAAAATTCTTTTATCCAGTGACTAAAAAGCGTTGCTCCCTTCTCGCCAAGTGACGGCCATCCTTCTAGAAAAGGTTCGTTTTTGTTGTTTTTTTTATTTATTTTTCAAAATTATTCTTTAGAATTATTTTCATAGTGCATTCTGTTTTTTCAACTCAATAAAAAGAAAACAGTAAATAGATCGTCTGAGGACAGAACTGTAATGACGAGAAACAGAAACAAAAAAGGATAAAAGAAACAGATATAGATCGAAATAAAACTCTAATGGTTAAAACTAAATCAGGAAAAACATTGACTCTCGATGCTTTATTTGGCACAGTTTGTAGAAGAAATAACCACCGCCCATGGCAAGATGAGTCGACCCTGATGGTAAAGCGGAGCTCATCAGATGTTTACCAGGATTGATGATAACTAATTCTACGAAACCGCTCCAAAGAACTTAGACTGTTTCTTGTTATAGGTTTCCTTTTCTGAAAGAAGAACGTTTTTTATCGGATACATCATGACGGGAAGTATTATGTTTAGCGCTCCTAGTTATGGGTGTGGGTGTGGGGTGGATGTGGGAGTGAGTGTGGGTGTGGGTGTGGGGTGGATGTGGGAGTGGGTGTGGGTGTGG